TCAAAAAGAAGTGCCAAGAACTTAAGAACACATATACTCTATATAACAAGATGAAAAAAAACAGGGCAGTGATTTAAAATTTTCGGATGATTTGCCATGGAAAAAAAAATTGGATCCACGAGCCATGCAGAATTATAGATAGAGGAAAGACAAAGAGAGGGGGGAGGGAGGTGGAGGAAAGAGAGGTAAGCTGCATGGCATGTATGCATGGAAGAACTCCAATACTCTAGCTAGCTTAAGCTCAAAAGCTCTGGAAGAAGAGAGGATGAGAGAGATGTTTGTGTGTGTGGAATAGGCATCAGTATCAACAAACTATAAAAATAAGGAAAAAGAGAAGGTACCCATCTTCATCAAGTGATTTAACAAAGAAACCAGATGTCAACGCAACCGGCACACATCATGAGCTTACCTCAAGAATCGATGCAGCTCTGCCTGCATGCACACGTGCTAGCCGTGCGTACAGCTTGCATATAAGTAATCTCTCTCTCCCCCCTCTCTCTCTCTCTAAAAGAGCATGAGAGGTGAAGATCCTAGAGAGAGGCGGGAAGAGAGAGGAAGGAGGAACAAGGAGGAGGAGGAGGAGGAGGAGGGTATCTCTGGACCATGAGATCACTCATGTCAGTGCTTAAGTACCTGCTGCGAGCTCCTTTCCCTTTTGCTCTCTACAGAGACGACACTGGACTATATATCTTTCCTCCCGAGATCTCCTCCAGCTGAAAGGGAAAAGCAGGGATGGATGGATAGAGAGAGAGAGACCGATTGGTTAAGTCTTTAAGAGAGAGAAAGAGAAATGAGGCAGTGGAGGAGGGACACCCACCTCCCACTTCCATTATCCTCACAGCACAGCCCCCACGCACAGCTTTTCCCCCACTCCCCCCCTTTTATTTTCTTTCTCTTGTCTAGATCTTCTCTCTAGCTACCTACAAGATTTTGTCCCTCCTTTTATTTCTCTCTCATCAAGAGCTAGCTAGCATGCATTCTAGGTGTGGAACTCATATGTACCATCCTGGCCTTTGGTGGAGTATTTAACCAAAAACTACCACAATTCGCGGAAACATAACAGAAAACTACCACTTTACGATTTTGTCCCGAAAACTACCATTTTTTTTATTAATCCGTGACAAAAAACTACCAAGTGTGAAAACTGCTCGCTTTGCCTGGATTAAACGCGAATTTGACTGCCCGACCCCACACATAAACGGGCTAAAAATGCAATCGGGTCCCTAGTTACCTTTTCTCTCTGAAGACAGTTTTCTTTGGGGCATTTCCTCGAGCAGGTTGTCTTCGTCCTGGAGAACGAGCTGCCATGGCTTGTCACGGGAGGAGAGGAAGAGCACCGGACTGTCATGGCTGCAGCGGCCGCTAGAGCGCGGACGGGCGCAAGCAGTCGCAGCTGCGAGCAGCACCGGCCGCACACGAGCTGGTGGATGGCGACCATGCCTCGTCCGTGGTGAGCGCGGATGGCGTCCAACCACCCCAGCCATGGAAGGAGCTCCCCGTGCGTGGTGGCCATCCCTGGCCCACGCCTCCGCGGCCCCCGGCGACGCGCACGGGGCTGACCTCCTCCTCCCCTCTGTAGCCATCCCATCGCTCAACGACCTCCTTCTCCACCTCCGGCCAAATCGAAGGAAGAGCGCGAATTTGGAGCTGGATCTGGGCGACGACGGCGCCGAGATGATCTGCAGCAGCGCTTCCTGGTAGACACGAGCGCCGACGCCGGCTGCAGCAGGGTCATGGGCGCCAGGCTCGACAGGTTGCTACCCCCGCTGCCCATCCCGGCGCTCCGACGTTCAAAACGCCCTCCGCCACCCCGTCCCCATCTCCCTCACCACCGCCACCTGCGTCCCGAACGTGGTCCTGCTGCTAGCTCGCTCCCTCACCACCGGGCCTCGACAACGACGTGGACTCGCCGCGGCAGCAGCTGTTCCCGTCCACCGGCGGCAAGCGGCTGGGGAAGGAGGAGGCCGGCGACGAGGAGGAGAAGGAGGCGGGGGACCCAATTGCTTTTTTGGAGAAAAACTAGGGACCCGATTGCATTTTTAGCCCGTTTATGTGTGGGGTTGGGCAGTCAGATTCGCGTTTAACCCAGGCAAAGCGAGCGGTTTTCACACTTGGTAGTTTTTTGTCACGGATTAACAAAAAAGTGGTAGTTTTCGGGACAAAATCGTAAAGTGGTAGTTTTCTGTCACGTTTCCGCGAATTGTGGTAGTTTTTGGTTAAATACTCCCTTTGGTGTCTAGTTTCAGCAAACATGACCCATCACAAAGGACTAGTCTCGTGGTGTGTGTTGTACAAGCAGGAGCTATTGAGCTGTACCATCCAATTTTCATATTAGACTTCTATATGTACTTTTACGTAATTATCGCACATATATTCATGAACGGATTAAATAGACCCTAGTATAAGATAATTGCAACCTTTAATATTTTCGAGTCGTGAATTCACAATCGATTTTGTGAACCATTGACCCAACTATTTTTTTTTCGAAAATGAGGTTATTGACCGTCGTTCTTCTTCCCCAAGCCACCGCCACAACCTCCTCTATCTGACTTCGCCTCCGTCAATGCCACCACTTTCATGTTGTTGCGGCCTCCGGCTCGTCATGTCTGGTGGGTGTCGTCGCTGCCCGCGATCAGGCCTCACACCTAAAGTCCCTCCGACCCTGATGAGCTACCCTAGCAAGGCCTCCTTCCTTGGCTCCGGTGCTCCACCATCAACGTTGTCGCGCCGCTGGCTCTGTTTGGTTACCCTAAATACTCTAAAGAGGTGCATTTCCTCGGCTTAGCCGCCTTCGCATAGGCGCTTCCGTGTAGCAGTTTACAAGTGTTTGAGGATGAAGTTGCATGATTTTTTTAAAAGCAGTTGTCTAATGCATAGTCAACTGTCATCGGCAAATTACGGTGTCACTTAGCCCAAGTGAATAAAGTTAAGATTTCAAATGGAAAAAAATATTCTCTATCCATGTTGTCACCCCTTCGACTTGTACCCTTTTCACCCTTGGTAAATCGTCAACCCCAACTCTTTACTGCTTCGACAAGCCCTCCTTCCTCAACTCTTCCATCACTGTTGTCGTGTCACCATTGGCTTCACCTCGCTAGGTCTCGTGCCTCGACTCGGCCATCTCTACCACATCGAGAGAAAGCAATTGCCTAATTCGGGGACCAAATTGTAGTATTTTAGCTGGAATGTTTTTTCTTAGTTGCGATTGATCGTATGCAACCTCTTGTAGTCGATCGAGTACTGTGGCACAGTAAGACATGTATTGACTTTCCCCTCTTTTTGAAAAAAAATCATGAAATATTTGAAATGTGGAATTATCCATGGGTGACAAGTACTATTAGCGAATGATCAGTCGTATTATCCATGAGTGAGAAAGAAAACCATGGAGTGACAAGTATCGGCGAGCGAGGAGTACCAGGGCCGTCGTCGAACTGATCGGTGGACTGGTGGATAGGGATATGTGGCGTATTATTAGCAAAGAAAGGTGTAGGGCACATCTGGGCACAAGAATTGAGGTGGATATGGAGAGAGAAAGAGAGAGGGGGTATATGGAATTATGGATAGCAATTGGTGCGTCCGTGTGTGTGCATGCTCAGGTAGATCGACTGCACACTCTCTGACACAAGCCTGGATGCATGTGTCAGAAGAACTAGGAAATGTCCACGTCCTTGTCTATAGGGTCTATCTATCTAGGTCAGATCTTCTCTCTCTCTATCATCTTCTTTTCTCTGGCTTTTGGAAGCCCTGTGTGTGTAGGTCAGAATTTTAATTGCATACCATGTGTGTGTGTGTGTGTGTGTGTGACCTTTGCTTCTCTGTTCCTTTCCCTTGCCCTGTCACTTTTCACTCTCACTCTCTCGTGTGCATGTACGTCCAATCTTCCTTGGCATGTGTGACGTGGCATCTTGTTTGCTAGGGCATTTGTTTATGTGTATAATGGTCTACTTCACATCTTAATATTCTTCCCCATACATAAGCTAGTTTAGTCATTGCCTTTTTTTAACCTTGCATTCTTTTAGTCTGATGATGCCGGCTTTTGGAGGAAAAGCGACTGAAAGCTCAGGAATCCAAACCAAACTAGCTGCATCTTGGAATTGATTGTTATTCCGGAGGATAGCATATGTTCATCATTGTCAAATACAACAAGGGAGAACTTTGAAGGTCATCGGGACATGTTGTCTTGATGAGTAGGATATTATGTGACAAAGCAATTCAAGGTTATTGTAAACAAAATAAGTAGTTTAGGCGTAATGAAGTTTGAGAAATCATACATATCTTTGGGCCACATAAATCTATACACGAATTCAACTTACTAAGTAATATACGCATAACTAACTACCATGTGTAAAACATTGCAAAAACTCATTTACAACAACTCTAGCACAAACTCCATTTTGATAATTACCGGAGAAATATTCCATTTTATCCCATTTTGCACAAACGTTGAGTATGATCTAACTTCTACAACAATAGTTCAAAAAAGAAATTGGAATTTTAGGGCACGATGTCTATCAGCGTCACATCCATACAAGTGTGCAAGAACCATCTCGTAATATATCCTTTGATTTCACGAACTTCTTGTAGTGGCTAGATGTCGAAATTTCCTTGAAAGGGAGAAGAAAAACGTACAAAAGCAGCAGAAGTGGAAAGGGGTATATGCTCCATACAGCCATGATGAAAATGATGTAATAGACTTTGATATTGTATTTTACTTTGAAATAATACCATACCAAAAGT